CATTGATTGGACAGACAGGCCTTCGGGCTGAGCAAAGGCTAGGGAAATCCCCAGCCCAGAATTCTTGCTCTTCCCTGACCAGGGACCCTGTGACTCTATGCAAGTCACCTCCTGTTCTCCTGGGTTTCTGGGCCCCTGGGGATACAGCTGATGTTGGAGCAGTTGGGGCAGTCAGAGCCTTTGACTCTTTACAGGGGCTGGAAGGCTGAGCAGCTGAAGCTGGATTGGGGTCTCACCTTAGAGAAAGGCTCTGGACAGATGTCCTAGGAGAAGGGTAGGAAATCTCTTCTCACTTACCTCTCAGTGCCTCAGTTTCCCCTATGAGCCCACCGAGGGAACTTATAAATTAGGACCCTCTGTCTCCTGCATTGGGACTGGAGCTGAACAGGGCCAAATGAGCTGGGTCTGCTGGTCAGGGGCACACTGGGTCATAAGTGTGGGGAAGCAGAAGGGAAAGAAAGGGGTTGTCAGAGGGTGTGAGCCATTACAGCACCTCGGGAAGGGGCTGAGCTCATCTGCCCAGTGCCTCAGGCCCCGACAGGCTCAAAGAATGAGGCCGGACCTCTCGGCCATGATGGAACAGCCCTAGAGTGGCAGTATGGCTTCCAAATACTTCACTTGAGGGAAAGAAAGGCCACTAAATCCCAAAGGAAGGCTGTGGAGGGAAGGAAGGGTGAAAAGAGAGGGAGGGGCCTTTGCCCGGTTTCTCACTCAGGGCCTTCTAAGGGGCACAGCTGGCTAAAGACTAGCGTCCTGGGAGAGGCTGAAAGACTTGGGATGGGGCCAAGGCACCACCTGTCCTGGCAGCTGCCCTCCCAGACACAGGTGAGGGAGAACCAATGAGAGGAACTGAATTAAATATTGTGTCTGAGAGAGCGAGCCAGTGCACGTGTGTGCATGTGCGCGTGTGTCTGTGCATGTGTGTCCAGGCATGTGTACGTGCATGCGTGTGTGCGTGCGTGTGTGTGTGTGTGTGTGTGCATAAGAGACTGAATCTGAGTGTGAGTATGACAATTCTCCATGTACCAGCGTGTCTGTGTGTATGGGTGCGCATGTCCACGATTGAGTCTGACCAGGCATAAGAGCAAATGTGTGTGAGAACTGGTGAAGGAGTAAGTGTGAACACCCAAAAGCACACTTGTGTGTGAGGGAAACAGGACAGAGAGATGAAGCCAGGATGAAGAGTGGCCTCCAAGGAAGTAAAGTAAAGCCAGGTTCTATGCCTACATCCCAGCCTGGCCCTTCACCTTCTAAACTTGCAGAGGTCACCTCTCTCGGAGTCTCTTATCTCCTGGGCCGTGTGTGTGTGTGTGTTTGTGTGTGTGTGTGTGTGTGTGTGTGTGTGTAGAGGTGGGTGGGTATCTTTTATTTTTTATTTTATCTTTATTTTATGTGCATTGGTGTTTTGCCATGGATGTGGGGTCCCCTGGAACTGGAATTACAGACAGTTGTGAGCTGCCGTGTGGGTGCTGGGATTTGAACTCAGAACCTCTGAAAGAGCAGCTAGTGCTCCCCACCGCTGAGCCATCAGCCTCAGCTGTAGGGATACACAAGTGCTGTTCCTTGGCTTCTGCATATGCCAGCTTCAAGTCTCTAGCAGGACTGCGGTGATTTGAATAGAAATGGTCCCCACAGACTCATGTGTTTGAATGCTTGGTCACTAAGGAGTGGTCTTGTTGGACTAGGTGTGCCTTGCTGGAGGAAGTGTGTTACTAGGGGTGGGCTCTGAGGTCTCAGAAGCTCAAGCCAGTTCCACTGTGACTCAGTTCTATTCCTGCTGTCTGAAGATGGAGAACTCCAGCACCAGGTCTGCCGTGCCCTGCCGTGCTTCCTGCCATGATGACAAGGGACTAAACCGGTGAACTATAAGCTGGCCCTAACTAAAGACTTTCCTTTAGCATGGTCATGGTATTTCTTCATAGCCATAGAAATTCTAAGACAAAGACATACTCACTGTGGAAAAGGAGAAAATCCATAGAAGTACAAAGAAGGATGGGCCAACAAGATGGCTCAGTGGAGAAAGGAACTTGCTGCTCAGACTGCAGACCTGAGTTCAATCCCCAGGACCCACATGGTGGAAGGAACCAACTTCCATAAGCAGTCCGCTGATGTCTGTATGGGCTTGAGTATGCAAACATTCAAGAGTGTGAACATACATGGGCACACACACACACACACACACACACACACACACACATAATGTTTTTTAGACATTAAAAACTTTTTTTTTTTTTTTTGGTTTTTAGACAGAGTCTCATTTGGTTGTTCTGGCAGGCCTGGGACTCGATGTGTAGATATGTTGAACTCACAGAGAACGTCCACTTGTCTCTGTCTCCTGAGTGTTGAGATTGAAGGTGTGGCGTTGGTTGTTGACACTATTGATGGACGGTTAGAGAGGCTGGTCACTCCTTGTGCCTGTTGACTCTGCCTGTGTCCACCTATGCATGTCCTATGTCTATATCCTGCAGGTCATTTTTACCGTTTTATTGATTTTGAAAGTTCTTTATATATTAAGGTTATATGAACATTATTCAGTCTAACCCCTACATTCCCCAAGGGAGTAAGAAAGAGGCACAGACCTTTCTAGGGTCTGAGCGTTGTGTTTGTCCCACATTGGGCTGAGGAGTTCTGGATCTGGGTGGCAAGATGGGGCTTGTCTGGTCAGGCAGAGAGGGAGGGCAGAGGTGAGGAAAAGAGAGAGAAGGGTCAGAGCTGAAAGAGGGGGCTGTGAGTGAAGTGACAGCCTTAATGGGAGGCAGATGGAGGAAACAGGATTGCCCTTGCTGACAGGAGGGGTCAAGGGGCATAGGACTTTCTAAAGACAGAAGCCTGGGGGACTGGCCAGCAGTGGAGCCTGGCTCCACTGTGATGCCTAAGGGCTGTGACAGGACAAAGGTCAGTTTCTCCCTCCTGCAAGTCTAGACCCTCGTAGGGCACAGAGGCAGAGAGGCTGGAGGGACTCTGAGCCCCTGGAAGACGGTGTGCAGACAGGGGAAAGTCTCTAGCCAACTGTGCTTCATTGGGCAATCTCTGGAACCTCTCTGCGCCAGATTCCTGCTCACGAAAGAGTATAGTGTTATTTATTTAATAGGATCTAACAGAATCAGTGTGTAGAGTGTTTAGCCCAATGCTAGGACCCAGGGAGGGTGGCTCCATAAGCGCAAGTTAACTCTTATGTGTTTGGTGTGCAAGTGTTTGCATTTATGTACGCTCTGTACACGTGTGCCACAGTGTGGGTAGAAGTCAAGGACAGCCTGTAGGAGTCTGTTCTCCCCCTCTGCCGTGAGGGTCCCAGAGATCACACTCAGGTCATGAGGCTTGGTGGCAAGCCTCCACTCTCTGAGTCATTTTGCTGGCCCAGTTCTTGTTACTCTACCCGTTCTGTCAGCCACTAGTGACATCAAGATGCCTTTCATTGGTGTTCGGACTTTGAGAGCCAGGAAAGTATTAAGTTGTAGATGAAGACATTGAGACCAGGACCAGAGGGGTTGTAGTCTGTCCTCTGAGTTCCACTGACGCTCCTGGGGACCTTCAAGTGACCTTATTTGAAAAAAGGGTCTCGAAGATGTCATGAGGGCAAACTGAAGCCACTCTGGAACAGGCAGCCCCTAAATCCAAGGGCTGGAGCCACTGAGGAAGAAAGGGATTGATTGGAACAAAGGCACAGACCCGAAGCAGGAAGCCACGATGTCCAGTCTGCACGGTGCTGGGTGTCGAACCCAAGGCTCCATGCATCACCTAAGCAGCCTATCAACTGAGCCACCCCCCACCCGCAAGGTACATCTCTGTTTTTTCACATGTATGGATGATTTGCCTGCATGCATGTCTGTGCACTGCTTTTGTACCTGGTGCCCACAGAGTCCAGACAGAAGATAGAACCAGATCCTCTGGGACTTGAGTAACAGATAGATAGAAAGCTGTGAGCCACCCATGGGTGCTGGGAGTTGAACCTGGGTCCATAACTGCTGAGCCATCTCTCCAGCCACCACCACCCCCTTTTTTGAGATAGGATCTCACTAATGTAGCCCTAGCTGGCTGGAAACAGAACCTTGCTCCCTTGCAAGGGGAGCCAGTGCTCTTAATTGCCCAGCCAATTCTCCAGCCCCTTGTACAGGTTTTGTTGTTCTTTGTTTGTTTGCTTGTTGGCTGTTATTCCCTGAACAACCCAGTAAATAATTACCAACCTGGCACTTACACTGTTGGGAGCAGAGTCACATCAGGGCTGATTTAGTGCCCAACAGGAGCTATGTAACATCTACACAGATGCTCTTTCATTCTGGATAAGAGACTTGAATGCCCACTTGGTGTTCTGGGGCATCCTGGAACCAAGTATGAGATACCAACACTTGGGAGGTGGAGGCAGGAAGCTCCGGAATACAAGGCCAGCCTCAGCTACTCCTCGAGTTCAAGGCCATCTGGGCTACAGGAGCTCTTGTCTTAAAAACAAACAAGAAACTTTGTTCCCAGTCGGCCAACTCTTGCCCTGTGGCAGACAGCAGGTGCTAAGCAGAAAGACCACAAACCCCAATACAGGGTTGGAGCCATGGCTTGATGCAACTTCAGGAACACCGACACCTCCCCATAACTGCCCTTCTAGAATCACCAGGGCCTTGCTGCAGGAGTCAAAGTTGCAGCAGCTCCATTTTATGAAGTGGGGATGCTCCCTGGTCCCTGTACAGTCTGTTCCTGCTACATCTCCACCTCCCAACTCAGGGCCTAGGACCCTAGGCAGATGAGGTTATGCCCATTTTACACACCAGCACGTGAAGGTTCATTGATTCTCTCCAGAGAGAGCTGGCAAAAGTGGGCAGCTTGTTTGGCCAGGGGACAAGGGACAGAGAATAAAGAATTGTCCCCAGTGTCTGTGGAGAAGAGTTGAGTGCAGGGTCCTCATTGCGTCACGCAGTCTGCATGCAGCGTGGAGACTGAGGTGGTTGCAGCTCTTCCTAGGGAGTGGCTGCAGGGAGCAGTGTTCTGGCTAGGAACAGGGTCTGAGTCACCTCGGAGGACGAGGTCACGGGCCCCAGCGGAGCTTAGACGCCCTCTAGCGGTCACGTGGGGGATCGTAGGGCGGGGCGGAGCTGGGGCTGGGAGGCGCGCCACGAGGTCCTCCCGGGCAGCAGGGGGCACTGTGGCCGCACGAGCGCCCTCACAGGCCCGCGCGGATCGGAAGTAGGAGTGGTAGGGTCGCTTCCGGTGCGGAACCGCGGCCTGGGCGGAGGGCTGGGCACCGGCGCGGGGTCTGAACCGGTAGATCAGGAGGAGGTGGCGTGTGGGAGTCGGGACGCGCGACCGTCGCCATGCCGTTCCTGCACGGTTTCCGCAGGATCATCTTCGAGTACCAGCCCCTGGTGGACGCCATCCTGGGCGCCTTGGGCATCCAGGACCTGGAGCGGCAGGAGCCCCTGGATGAGTGAGTGGCTGCGGTCCCCTGTGATTGTCGCGGCGGGAGTTGCGTGACTCCGAGCGCGAGCTCCAGCCCGAGTTGCGCCCGCAGCGTCCTGCAGGGCAGAGGACCCGGGCCTCGGCGCTGCTCCCTGTGTACGGATGCGGGGAGGAGACGAACTGACTGACCGAGCGCGCTTTTTGTAGACAGCAGGTCTCTGAGAGCGTCTGGGGAAGGAATCCGGTGTGGTTCTCGTGCCCTGTGCAGGGCTCCCCGGGTATTGGGAGCGCTGCGACAGGCGAGCATCCAGACCAGCAGTGTGGTGTGGGATGCAGGGGGTGGGGTGGGGTGGGGCAGAGGAGGGGCATTGGGAGAGCCGTGAGCTGGAATTGCAGACACTGTCAGTCTCACCAGGTTTTTACACCACATCAGCTCTTTCCACTGAGGCGTCCTCTGTAAATACAGTGCGAGACTTTTCTAGAACTCCGAGGCAGGGCCGGCGGCTGCACATCAAGGCGCTGCCGCCCTCCCTTGGCGGGGCCTAGCGTATTCCGGAGGGTTGACCCAGATAAGCTTTTTGTATCTGGGCGTTGGTCGAATCATGGAGCCAACCTGTTGCAAGAGGTCTGGCGGGTGAGATTAGGGAGAAGAACGAGTGATGAGCATCGTGGGGAGAGGGTGGCTCTGAAGGTGGAGGTGGCGGGGCCGTTTTCAGAGCTGGGTGCAAGGTGTGGAGCAGTCCCCAGGCCCAAGTAGGTGGTGTCGACGAGGAAGGGTGAAAGCTTTGGGGCCACTTTCAGGGTGGTCTGAGAGAGAGCTGGACAGAGCCAGCCCTATGGTACCGAGCCGAGGGATGACTTTGAAACCGTTTCAGACTTCTGACCAAGAAAACCTCCTGCCTCACGGAGCATGATCAGATTTTGTGGGTGATTGTGGAACGGCACACAGGGTAGAGTGCCTGGTCCCCAAGCGTTCCCCCCGTATCTGCTTTGCCTCCGATGTGCAGTTATGCTGCTGCTGAGGAGAGCCGCATCCTGGGCCTCACGGAGCTGCTGGAGCAGAAGGCCCACTCTCCGTTCTACCAGGAAGGTGTGAGCAACGCTTTGCTGAAGATGGCTGAGCTGGGGCTGACTCGGGCAGCTGCTGTCCTTCTGCAGAGCGGGGCCAACCTCAATTTTGAAGGTCAGCGGGATCCCAGAGGGGCCAGGACCTCCTGTCTATGGGGTGACTTCCCCACTCCTGTGGGATTTCTGGTGTCTCTTAACACCTCTACCCCACAGAGGGGTGTTGTTTCTGTCATGTGATTGTGTGGCCAAACTTTCCCAGCTTCCAGATTAATCCCACTTCCGTTATGATGAAATTACACTAATTACATTGGCATTGCCCAGAGCCTAAGGGAAGGTAATTTTCTGCAACTTTTAGCTGTCTGGCGGGTTTTGCCCAGTCCCTGCACATGGGAAGATAAGCTGTACTAGGCATCAGTTACAAGCAGGGTGTTGGCAGAGCCTACTAGTTCGTTTCCTAGCAGAAACTATATTATTTAAATCACTGCTTCTATTATTTTATATTTTACCACGAGGCTTGTGGCCTAACTAGCAACACACATCTTTCTCCTCTAGCGGATCTATGGCGTCTCTGCTCAATCTGTTTACGCCCTCCTCCTCTATCTGCCTTGCCCTATTTTGCTAAGTCACTGGCCAAAACAGCTTTATTCATTAACCAATAAAAGCAAAACAAAGACAGAAGAACTTCCTATACAATTTTCCCTGTTTAAATAAAAATGAAGGTTTTTAACTTTAACATAGTAAAATTACATTAACAAAACAGGTATCAAGCAAGAATTACAGTTACAATATTTATATATACTTTATCTTTTATCATAACTAAGGAAAGCTATAACTATCTATGCTTCAACTCCATCAAAGACTCCAGAAGGATATAATATTACCTAAGTAAACAGGAAGTGCATTGTAAGCAACTTTCAAAACTCTAGAATTGACAGAGACATCTCGCTGCCTGGACAATCACCCAGAGTTTTTCTGTAATGTTGGGGCATCCATCTTCAGCCTACAGGCCCATGGCATCTAGAAGACTTTTCCATGAAGCAGGAAATTTCAAAGACAGTTCCACCTATATTGGCAGTTTATCAGTAACTTTCTTCTGTGTCCTGCAGAATGTTTGGCAGACTCTTTTATGAAGCAGGCACCCTGAAGGACTGTCTCACCTTCTTTAGGCAGCTTCAGCAGTCAGTTTGCTGTGGGTCCTGCAAGTCCAGTCAAGCAGTTCAAGAGCAGTTTCTTGCCCAAATGGCTAACAAACTCCATGAGGAGCCTCTTCGATGCCCATCATTCTCTTGAAGTAGATTGGTACTGCCAGGAGCAGATGTGTCTCACTGTCATGAAAAGTCATAAGTTCTTAAAACATTTTAAATACCATATTCTGTAGTTTTTGAAAGGTTTGAAGAATAACTAACATGATATAAGCTTGACTGTTATAGATGATTATCTATTAACTGTATTTATTCATTATTTTTTAAATGAGCTGCAGAAACACAATACCTTAATCAAGAGCAGAAATATATATATATATAACAAAATTGATCTTAAATTATTATCAATAAACCAAGATCTATACCAATGCAAATCTCTATAGCATATCCCCCCTCTAAATGTAAATAAACAGTTATAAACAATATTTGGGAATTTGGGTGTAGTTCTGTCCAAACTGCTTCCTGCTTTTTCTTGGGCAGAGTAATTTGGGGGGTTCACGGGTGTTCACAGTGGCCTTTCAGGGGGTCTTGGTCCATCAAACCACATTAGTCTAGAAGGAATCCACAGGTTCTCATCCTCTGTAGAAACAAAAGAAGACCCCTTTTCCAAAGCAACAAATCCTTAGACCCAAATTTTGAAGTCAAAATACCTTTATGTTGGTTTGGCTTAGCAGCCCATACAATGAAATGTCTCTCTGTACTTAGCTCATTCACAGTCAAAAAATTCAAAGAAAACACAGTAATACACATAATCCAGACTCTGTGTATATTCCATCTTTCTGTAGCTTATTTTTTCTTTAATCCATGACTGTACTCTTTTTAAAGACTTTGTTTTTTTATAACCATTTACTTCCTTTTATAACTGTCTATTCTTTCTCATCTCTCAAACCTACGTACATTTATCCAACACTGTGACCCATTTAGAGGTCTTTTTTATCTGAATCTGTCTTTGTTGCATATCTGTAATAATTTTTTTGACCAGGAGCACTTATGCTTTGCCTTTTGGCTCCGCCCAGCCCAACATGGCGGAGGTCTGTTCACCACTTCTGCAAGCCGTGCACCCTGCCCCAGTTCCAGGCATGCAGCAGGTCTATGTTGTGCCATTAAGCAGTTTGTAACACGCTGCTCACAAACCCCAGTCAAGTGCTCGGCCTCCTGAAAGAGCCAGGCTTCCTGCTGGTGAACCAGGAAGCTGATTTTTAAAGAAGCTGTGCAGTTTTTCCCTCTAAAGCTGAGTCAGGAAACCTCTTAAAGGAGCCATGTCTCTGCTTTCTGCCAGCAAACAAGAAACTGCATTAAACTTTGGGTGTGTGTGTGTGTGTGTGTGTGTGTGTAGAATTCTTTTCAAGCTCTCTCAGGTTTTAAGTGGATTTAGTTGACCATGTAGGTGCCAATTGTTGGCAGGGGCCACTAGTTCATTTCCCAACTGCCCTGACTAGAAATAATCACACAGAAATTATATTATTTAAATCACTGCTTGGCCAGTCACTTAAGCATATTGCTAGCTAGCTCTTATATCTTAAATTAACCCATTTCTATTATTTAATTATCATGAGGCTTGTGGCCTACTGGCAAGGTTCCAACTGGCAGCTCCATGGCTTCTCACTCACTCCACCTACGCTCTCCTCCTCTATCTGCTTGGAACTCCCACCTTGCCCTATTTTGCTAAGCCTAAACATTAACCAATAAAAGCAAAACATAGGACTTCCTCTGCCAGCAGGGCTCGTAGGTAATGATGGAGGGCCAGCTTCCTGTCCTGCCATTGACTGTCACTCCAGGTGGACACAGGTAGCACTGCCTATGGGGTGGGGGGGGGCGTGCTGACCCTCACAAAGCCTTGTTGTCTTTCATTGAGAAACAGACTCAAGGCTGCAGCACCTGGAATCTTGCAAGCAGAAGATGGGGGTCTGCTCCAAAGCCCATCCACATGGTCACCGGGCCTGGCTGGCCAAGCCTGGTAGAGGCTGAGGCAGTAGGATCTGTAGTGACCTGAACTACCTAGCAAGGTCAAGGCCTGCCAGGGCGATGTGAGAGTCTGGCTGTACTGCCAGGCCTGAGCACAGCAGCTACTCTGCATGACCCTGGGAACAGACAGGAGACTGAGGCCAGCACAGCCTCAGAACACACCAGGACTGCAGGCCTAGCATCTGGGGAGAGGCTGGGGCTGGTCCCGGGTCTTTGATAATGGACTGACTCCGACTTCTTTGCCTCCAGACCCTGTTACGTATTATACAGCTCTGCATATCGCTGTCCTGAGAAACCAGCCTGACATGGTGGAACTGCTGGTGCGCCATGGGGCGGACATCAACCGGAGGGACCGGGTAAGAGTCAGGTGCAGTTGGCTTGGGTGTGTGTGGTAGATTTACCAACCAGCCTTTCAGGCCCCAGGCCAACGTGGCTGCTGTCCCCTTTGGCACCAGATTCATGAGAGCAGCCCCTTAGATCTGGCCAGCGAGGAACCCGAACGCCTGCCCTGCCTGCAGCGCCTCTTGGATCTTGGAGCAGACGTTAATGCAGCTGACAAGAACGGTAAGTGCCTCGGTGGGAGGCGGGCCCTAGAGGATGGCCCAGCCACAGCTGGCACAGAGGAGGGCGCTAGCCTGCCTGAGTCCAGCGCCCTGGAGAGGTGTGGTCATTATCTCCATGC